TTGGCAGAGTGGAGGGGCTGCAAAGGAGAGGAAGACCTTTGATGAGATGGATCGACTCTGTGACTGGAGCGGTGGGAATAAGTGTGTTTGAGATGGCTAGGTTGTCAGAGGATAGAATAGCGTTTAGAGCTCTTGTACATAGGGTCGCTATGAGTCACAAATGACTCGATGGCACATAACAACAACAACAAAAGTCATATTGAAAGAGAAACTCCCCTCTTCTTTTAGATCAGCTATTTAAAATATGAACTACATAGATGTCAAGTTTTAACATGAAGGAGAAATGATCAGCCTGAGCTATCCTATCTTCCAGTATAGAGAAATTTCTGTGAAAATATAAAATAGTAGTGTGCAAAGGAAAATGAAACTGGTGGATGAAGGTTCCCTAACTGAACTGTTAATGCTGAAGTGAAAGTCAAATTCTTCATAGCTTGAACCTATATCAGTTTCCACAGATAAAAATCTTCTTCCTTCCCTTTTAAATCATTTGCACCAAAGTTTACAGATCCTATGGTATTTCATTCAATTATTTATAGATATTTTCTTTTATAACATTAATTATAAGTGATGTAATAAATTTATTGCTGTGTGCCAAAGTTGGAATCAAGACATAGCTGACCCTCTGGTAGATTTTCAGATTCAGTAAATTACAAGAGTGGATATTGCCTATCCATTTTCCATGGAGCAGTGGTGGATTCAAACTATGTGTCTTTGGGAGTGCAGCCTAGCTTCTTACCACTAGGTAACCAGAGATCACTTTAATTAATTAAGAAAGACACTTTTACTGTATATGCCTTTCCCATGACCCAATCTACCTGTTTATTTCATTCTCCTCTCTCTCTTTTTTTCATCCCTGTTTGTTCTCCAATATTCTTTCTTTTTGTGTAAACCTTTCCTTAACTTTTTAGAAATCTTAACAGGAAATTAATGTCTATCTTTCTTCTGAAGGGTGAGTAGAGCATTCAATTTCATAAATCCAGAGTTACTTTTTAGGAATAATAGCTGTAACATATTTAGATTCACAGTAACTCTCCACTGAGTTTCTGAAGCTGTAAAATTTTAGAAGAAACTTTCCACCTTTCTCCTCTAGAGAAATTGATAAATTTATATAACTGAACTTTCATTTAGCAGCATAACTCTCAATGTACTATACAACCAGAAGTACTTACTGTAATGAAGTGAGAATATGAGAAGAAATAAAAATGTAGGAAGGTAAATTTACACTGTAAATGTAACTTTTATTGTTTTGTTGGGTTTTTTAAATTTTTTTTTTTTATTGGGTTAAAACAGTCTAGGAAGCTTGGTTTACCTAGTGTCAAGAAGCTGCACTGCAATCCCGAAGGCATGCAGTTCAAATCCACCATCTGCTCCATGGGGGAAGAATAATCTCCTTCCTTGAGATTAAATGCCTCTGAAAAGCTGCCAGAGGGTCAGCTGTGGGTCAGTTCTGACTTTATTGTATACAACAACAATGAAAAAAGATTAATATAACTAACGATTACAATAATGTAAAATAGTCCAAAATCTTTAGCAAATGTAAGCCTTCTTCTTTATAACCAACCATGTAATTTATTTTTTTATTTTGTGTGCGTGTGTGTGTGTACCGTCAAATGAGATCTAACTGGGGCAGGAGGAGATTGTCCCTCCTTCTCCAGCAGAGGATCTGGTGAATTCGAAGCACAGACCTCTGGGATTACAGCGCAGTTTCTTGTTAGTAGGCCACCAGAGCTCGCCCCCACCATGTAATTTAAATAATACACTTACTCTCCTACCATGTTTCTAGAACTGTTGTATCATTTAACTATCTCCAAGGACTCAGTCCCCTGAAACTTGTATTACTTTTCTTGGTGAAACTTTATTACTTGGAAAATGCATTAATGACTCTTGAACATAGGCCACCCGGGACTCTTGTTTTTTATCACTACCTGGCGTGTTTACCTCTTTTGTTTTGTTTTTCCAAAACGGCTATGCTTAATACAGTTAAATTTCTTGTTCCATTGGTGCTTTAGAATACTTCAATAGTGGATAGAACTTCTGGTATTTCCCAACTCCTAGAGTAATTTATTTTCTAGTCAATGATAGGGACAGTAAGACTATATTTGGGAACTGATCATAACATTGAGGCTAGTATTAAGTAGTTTAGCATTTTCTTGAGGATGAAAATTGTTGGGAGCTCTATTCATTGATGGACCTACTATGGAATTTAAAGGCACAAGGTCTATGAAAATTTCCTTTTCAACATTGCAACTTTAATATTACTATGTTAACCAATAGAAACTCTGATTTACTAACAAAAAGGTAAGTGTAATAATAGATAGCTAGCTAAATGATAGATAACAAATAAAATTTATCATTGTTTGGGAAGGTTTCATTCTTTTGCATAATACCTAAATAAATATGCTTCTAGTTTAGGAACTATCAAAAGGTAAATTCTGACCAAAAATTAAAAATATTATCTTTGCATGTATAAAAGTATATAACCATGTTCTTTTTAGTTCTCCCTCACCAAACACCAATAAAATATTCACAAAAGTAGTGAAAGCATCTCTTAATAGACCCCTGTACTAATTTTGAATATTTGACTAAAAGAAAAAATAATCAGAAATCAGTTAGTTTTAATTTCATTTAATCTGTGTATTAATTTTTAATGATAATTTATGGACTCAACAACAACCAATAGTTAATATAAAATATAGCTTGTAAATGAGAGATTTGGTTAAACATAAATATTCTAACTTTCAGATAAATTATAGAGTAATGAGTTCTTCCTATCTCAGTAAAACCAAAATAAAAAAATTGTCAAAGCTAATTTTGCTTCTACGTCTGTAGGGGCATAGGAAGTTAAGCAATAACATAAAACAGCTCTCAAAAACAAAACAAAACAGGTTCAACTGGGAATATTTTTTTCTGTTCTAGGATTTCAAAAAACATCAAGTCCTGAGATAATGATTGGATATTTAAAATATTTAAACCCTTGTTGGTAAATTATTGTTGAAGCCTAAATTTAAAAAAAACCCCATGTAGCACAGTTATCCTAAATTCAGAATCTAAAATTGTTTTATATTTGACTTAAATATCTTAACATTAGGCAAAATAAGTAATTAATTTGACTGGTAGAAGAGAAGACAAGGCAGTCATCATTTTGTCAGCAATAAATATAGTACAAATATTCAGTAAAGTTAAGGCACATAACAGAAAAAAGCTATATGGAGTTGAGTGAAACAATAGGGTTTAGGGTTATACATGAGAGTGAAATACATTTGCCTTAAAAGCAAATCAATAAACAAAAATCTCTGCATGGAACAAAGACTTAAGCTCTCTTTAGTCTCCGTACAGTGAACTCAAACTAAGAAATGAGGGATATATAATGTATTCAGCATTTAAACAGATGAGGGAGAGAACTATAAAAAAGGAATATATGATAAGATATTATTGGCATGACAAGAGTCCAGAATAACAGTTGCATAGTAAAGTGGTCAGGGGTGGGGGACCGTATAAGAATGAAAGAACTTTTTGCCCAAAGAAAAAAGCAATCTGGGGAGAAGGGGGACAGGGAGGAAAATGCAACAATGAATGAATGGAATTTTGAGTTCTTTATAAACTTTCATTAAAATCTAAAAAAAAAATTAACTGTTATGTATAACCCTTGTTCAAAGAAAACAATGTAGAAGAGCCAAATGTCAAGAGAAGATATGAAAACAGTGATGTGTTTTTATGTAATTTATCTGTAAGTATAGAAGAAGGGAGTAAAATGATATATGGGTAGCAATAACTACCTATAAAAGCATATATCATCAATAGTCTATTTTTTGTGACATGAGAAAATCCTAAATAGAGAATTGAAGTGAAACATCCAGAATGAAGGTTGCATAGTGCGGTGTACTCGGGACAGAGGAGTGGAGGGGATTTTATACCAATGAAGGAAATGGTTCTTTTACTTTTCAAAGAGAAAAGCGAACTGGGGGTGAGGGGTGGGCAGGGGAAAAAGTGCAACAATTAATGAATGGAAATCCAAAATATCTATAAACTTTCATGAAAATTAATAAAATAAAAGAAAGTGCTAAAAATATGTAAATAAAATGAACACTTGATTATATTAAATTAAAGATAATTTAAATTAATCCTTAAGAAAATTTCTCTGAATGTCACGTGCAGATTGGACAGAAGTTAAGAAGTCAGTGATGAGAAACAGATCAGTAACAACGTTCATCCTGCTGGGACTGACAGATGACCCTCAGTTGCAGGTTCTGATTTTTGTATTTCTCTTTCTCACCTACATGCTGAGTGTAACTGGGAACATGACCATCATTTTGCTCACCTTTGTGGATTCTCACCTGAAAACACCGATGTACTTTTTCTTAAAGAATTTTTCTTTTTTAGAGATCTCATTCACCTCTGCTTGTATTCCTAGGTACTTGTACAACATAGCAACAGGTGACAAGATCATTACCTATGATGCTTGCATTATCCAATTGTTTTTTACTGATCTCTGTGGGGTAACAGAATTTTTCCTCCTGGCTGCTATGTCCTATGACCGCTATGTGGCCATTTGCAAACCCTTGCATTATGTGACCATTATGAACACAAGAGTCTGTAGGATTTTCATTATCTGTTGTTGGACGGCTGGTTTATGTGTAATAACCCCGCCACTAAGCCTAGGTTTAAATCTGGAATTTTGTGACTCTAATATCCTTGATCATTTTGCCTGTGATGCATTTCCCCTGGTGAAAATCTCATGCTCAGATACATGGACTGTGGAACAGACAGTTATCATTTGTGCTGTGCTGACCCTGAATATGACTCTTACTTGTGTGGTTCTGTCTTATGGTAGTATCATCAGGACAATATTTCGATTCTCTTCTGTCCAGCAAAGGAAGAAGGCCTTTTCAACCTGTTCTTCTCATATGATTGTGGTTTCTATCACTTATGGTACTTGTATTTTCATCTATATGAATCCTACAGCTAAGGAAAAAGTGACTGTTAATAAAGTGATTTCCCTCCTGATTTCTTCAGTTTCACCTACATTGAACCCATTTATTTATACCCTGAGAAACAACCAAGTTAAAAAAGCTTTCAAGGACTCATTCAAAAGATTTGCATTGTTATCAATTAAGTAATGTGTGTGGTTTTGTGGGGTATATATGTGCATATAGTAATTAATGTATGTGTAACTATACATATATTTATTTATTTATACATACATGTATTACTAGCCCCAGGTATCTTCTCTTTGAACTTTATAACTTTCTCAGCTTTGGAGTATTCCATGCTTAAGTAACATTTATTTTGTAAAAAATAGTTTCTATGATCTGACATGGATCCAATTTCTTATTTTTTATATTCAAAGCAATAGCTGAAAATATTTCTGCATATGATTAAGAGACTACATATAAATAGATTTTCTCAAAACTCAGTTTTGGAATGACATTAGTTTCGTTTTACTAAATTTTAATCTATAATAAAAGTCTACTCCTCTACTCAGGGAAATATAGGGTAAAAGCCACATTTTACCCAGAAATGTTCAATACTATCCATTAGGTAAAACAAGTGTAGTTTTGTTAAACTTTTGTTTGGTTTTTGGTAAGTACCCTCAAGTTGACTATGACAGTGACCCTGAACAACAGATCTGTACCTTGCCCTATGCTATGCTATTCTTAGTATGTCTGACATGCTTGAGCCTATCATTACAGTCCTGGGCTATTCCATATTGTTGAGACTGTTTCTCTATTTCCCTGACCTTCACCTTTGCCAGAATGATGTATTTTTCAAGAACTGTTACCTTTTACCAACATGCCCAAAGTATGTGAGAGGAGACTTTACCATTCTTGCCTTGAAGGAGCACCTTGGTTGCACTTTATCCAAGACATATCAGGTTGTTCTTTTGGGCAGTTCATGGAATAGTCAGTACAGTACCACAGTTCAAAGGCATTGATTCTTCTTCTGTTATCCTTAATCATTGTTCAAATGTCAGATGCAGAGAAAATAATTGAAAATACCATGGTTAGGTCAGGCTTATCTTAGTCTTAAAACTGAAATTATTACTCTGTGTCATTTTGACAGCAGATTTTCCCAATGGAACACATATGAATTCCTGTCTGTTCCTACCATGTCACTTGTAGATTCAAGGAAAATTAAATCAATACTAACTTTAGTCTTTTTTCCATCTATCATGATGTTGCCTATTGATGCAGTGGTGAGGATATTTGCTTTCTTAGTGTTGAGGTGTAGTCTATATTGATGGCTGTAGTCTTTGATCTTCTGCAGGTATTGTTTCAGTCCTATTTACTTTCATCAAGCAAAATTCTGTGAACTGCATAATGCAGGGTTTTTTAATAAGTCATCTTCTAATACCGACGTTGCATTCCTCCTTGATGTAAAAAACTATTTAAAAATAATGAATAATGACATAGTTTATATTCTTGAAAAACAATTTATAAAAAGGAAAATAGTACTTTAGATATTGAGAGGATAGAATGTTCAGTAGCTTTAGAGACATAGTTGGTAGGGAACTGGACTTCCAATCAAAAGGTGGCATCTCTCTGGCAGTCTGAAGCCACAAGTGGTTCTAATGAAAAAAGATGGGCAATATGTCCCTGTGCAATTTGTTATTATTATTATTAGGTGTCATTAAATCCATTATGACATATTGTAACCCCATGAACAATAGATATAAACCTTGCCCTATCTTACACCATCCTCACAATCTTGTCATACTCAAGCCTGTTGTATTCACTATGTCAATCTATCTTGTTAAGGGTCTTCCTATCTTTTACCAACACACTCTTTCCCAGCATGATGTCTTTCTCCAAGGGTTGGTTCTTCCTGAAAATAAGCTCAAAATAAGTGAGATGAAGCATCACTATCTTTGTCTATAAGAAGCATTCTGATTGCATTTCCTTCAAAATAGATTTTTTAGTTCTTTTGGTAGTCCTCAGAATGGTCAATATTCTTTTTCAACAATACAATTCAAAGGCAGTGATTCTTCTTTTGTGGTCTTCCTAATTTATTTTCTGACTTTCAAATGCATAAGAAGTAAAGAAAAACACCTTCACTTGGATCCAATAAACTATAGCCTTTAAACTGATATCTTTGATTTTTAGAAAGTTGGAAAGGTCCTCGGTATCAGACATCATCCTTTGCAGATAAAGCTTGTAAAAACACCCTGAAGCATAAACTGTGTAGGTTCTGACTCTATAGTAATGAATTGTTGTTTTTATGAGTTTAATTATTTCTCTTAAAACATTTAGAAACTCCAAATAAACTTTTATTTTTAATATATAGCTAAAAACATTGTAAGGTTATAGAATGGATGTATTAGCAATAAAAATGCATCTAAAAACAAAGCAATAAATGGTAAATAAACTGTAAAATGAATGGTAGAATTTCAAGAGATCATAAACTAAAGGATAAAATGGGATAAGGGATAGTAATAAAGTTTGGAATTTAGTGATATAGGATTGAAATCTTAGGATCAATGTAGTGAGAATACTTGGAATGACAGAGTCACATAAAATAAAAATTGTTAAACTTTTGCACACATAATTCAAATTTTCATTATAACCAGGCTCATATTCAGAGAAAGATTAATTTATTTAATATTTAAAAATATTGACTTCTGTTTTCAAGGCTATTTGCCATGGAGAAAATATTCTCAAGTGTATTTAATACTTCTAACACAAATTGGACAATGCGTTTATTAAAAACATGAAACAATTAATAAGGATAGCAGAAGAAGAATTGATGCTGTTGAGTTGTGGCATTTGAGAAGAATAATGAGTATCCCACAGACTGCTAAAAGAACAAATATATATGTCTTTTCTCAAGCTGAAAGAACTGAAAAACAAATTTAAACCTTGAGTTGCAATATTTAAAGATTCTATCAGCAATATTTTGACTGACTCCAAAAATACCAAAAGAAGACAGAGGGAATATACAGAGTCAGTGTATCAAAAAGAACTGACTGACACTGAAAAATTTCAGAAAGTTTTTTATGAGCAGGAGCTAACAATAATGAAGAAGGAAATGGAAACACATTGAAGACATAAGCAAAAAATAAGGCCCCGGGAATCAATGGCATACTAATTGACTTGTCTCAATTGACTTGATGCAGCCTAGGATGCACTCACCAGTCTATGCCAGGAAATTTGGAAGATAGCTGTGTGGTCAACAGATTGGAAGAGATCCATATTTGTTCCCATCCCCAAGAAAGGTGATCCAACTAAGTGTGGAAACTATTGAACAATGTTGTTGTTGTTATGTGCCGCCGAGTCTCTTGCGACTTACAGCGACCTTATGTACAACAGCCCTAAACTCTGCTCTGTCCTGTGCCTACCACACCATCTCCGACACACCCATCCCGATTACCCCAGTCACTAAATCAATCCACCTCATAGAAGGCCTTCCCCTCCTGCGCTGTCCCTCCACCCTACCAAGCATGATGTTCCTCTCCAAGGACAAGTCTCTCCTTACAACATGTCCAAAGTATGTTAGATAGAGCCTCAGAATCCTTGCCGCCCAGTTTAACCATTTCCAGGATGAATCTGTTTGTTTTCCTAGCAGTCCACGCGTTCAGATTAAGACAGACTAGGAAGAAGGATTGGTCATCCACTTCTGAAATAGCAGGCCTCCAAAAACACTATGTACCTATGTACATTGAACAATATTGTTGTTAATATAACATGTAAGCAAAATACTGCTGAAGATCATTTAGACGTGACTAGGACAGTACATAAATAGAGAACTGTCAAAAGATCAACAAGGCTTTAGAAGAGGCCGTGGCACCAAGGATATTATTACTGATGTTAGATGGATTTTGGCTGAAAGGAAAGAATACCCAAAGAATGTCTATTTATGATTTATTAACTATGCGAAGGCATTTGACTGTGTGGATCATAACAAGTTGTGGCTAACATTGAGAAGAATAGCAATCCTGGAGCACTTAATTGTGCTCATGCGAAACCTGTACCAAAACTAGGTTCCTGTTGTGCAAACAGAGCAAGAGAACACTACATGGCTTGAAATTAAGAAGGGAGTGCATCAGGGTTGTATTCTTTCTCCATACCTATTCAATCTGTATGCTGAGAAAATTATTCTATAAGTTGAACTCTGAAGAGGAATGTGGCATCAAGATCAGAGGGAGACTCATCAATAACCTGCATTATGCAGATGACACAACCTAGCTAGCTGAAAGTGAGGAGGATTTGAAATGTTTATAGAAGATCAAATAATACAGCCTTCAATATGGATTGCATCTCAATACCAAGAAGACAAAGATTCTCACCACTGAACTGATGGGCAGCATGGTGACAGAGAATATATTGAATCTGTCAACAACTTCATCTTACTTGATTACATAATTAACACCCTTGGTACAAGCAGTCAGGAAATCAGGACACATGTTGTACTGTTAATCAGGGACCTCTCCAAATTATTGAGGAGTAATGATGTCAGTTTGAAGATTAAGGTGAGTCTGATTGAGGCCATGGTCTTTCCAGTCACTTACTATTCACCTGAGCTGTGGTGTTGGAGAAGAGTGCTGAACATCCCATGAACTACCAAAAGAACAAGCAAATAGGTCTTGAAAATGATACAGCCAGCGTACTCTTCAGAGGCAAAGATGATAAGGCTTTGCCTTACATACTTTGGGCATGTTGCTGGGAGGAGAGTCTATTTCTTGAAGAGGGACATAATGCCCTGAAAAGTGGAGGTTCGGTGAAGGAGAGGAAGATCCTTAACCAGAAGAATTGACACAGTGACTGTAGCAATGAACACTGGTGTGTCAAGAAGTATGAAAATGGCACAGTATAGTACAGGGTTCAAATGGGTTTTTCGTAGAGGCACTATGGGTCATACTCGACTCAATGGCACCTAACAATAACCGTATGTCTTGGAAAAAGGCACAGCTGGAGAGCTCCTTGGAGGCAAATATGGCAAAACTTTATCTCTCAGAGTGTGGCCATGTTGCTAAGACAGGCTATTCCCTGGACAGCAGCATAATGCTTGGAAAGATGGAGGGTCAGTGAAAGAGAGAGAGATTGATGCAATGACAGGAGCAATGAACTCAAGTATATCAGAGATAATGAGGATGACATAGGCTAGAACAGTGGTCAGGTCTATT